AACATTTTTAATTACTTTTTCTTTCTTTATTAATATGTAATGGGCATTTATTTACACATTATTTTTTATCTTTCAAATGTTTTTCTTTGAGAAAGGATCAAATTTTTACTACAAACTTACTATTTCATCCGATTTAATTTCAAAGTTGTATAAGTGTTGCAATTTTCATCTAATTCTAAAAAGTGGGGCAATTTTTATCCTGTAAACTTTCAAATGTTTTTCTTTTGGAATGATTTTTTTTTGTTTAAAGCTGCAAGTTTTGATAGAGCTATTTATTAATCTATTTTGTCCACTAATCAGCTTAATTTTGTGCGAAATTTGATTATTAGTTGGTTTTTTTTTGGAGTCTTTTATTATTATTATTATTTTTTAAATTAGTGGACGAATTAGCAAAAATGGAATAAATGGTAAAAATTGTAATACTCATCTAAGTTCAAGTTTATAGCCCAATTTGATGAAATGGTGAAGATTGATATAACTTCGATAACGTTTAAGGTAAAAATTGATTTCCCTCCTTTTTTTCTTCCGTCCTCCAACTTTTAAAGATATTTTTTTAATACTTTGTTTTAGTCTTTATACTTTATATATATATATATAAAATTAAATTTTATATTTTATGGCATGTGTCTTTTTTATGACCTATAATAGCATCGGCTAATTAGATCGGTTCATGTAGAGGTTGATCCTAAACTCATTAAACCCACGAGAAGAAGGTTCATATAAAACTCACTAAGACTATGAATAGAGGGAGTGACAACATTTGGGTCATTCAAAAGATTTAGAGTCATCAGAGTATTTAGAAACATCTACAAGTATTCAGAATCATCTACAAGAATCATCCACAAGCTACAAGTCAAATACTCTATCAAGCTGCATAGCTAGAGAACCTCGTATAGCTGCAAGTCAAATAACTTCATCAAACTACATAATCGAAGTATTTAACAAGCAAGAAGTCGAATATGTCAATCTTATTCATTCAACAACAAGTCAGCCCTCAAATCAAAATTTGTGTTTGAGTAAACACTATTAGATTGTATATTAGAGATTATAACACTCATACCTAAAATACAAATAGTTCATTTATTTCGAGTTTATGAAATTTCTTGTCAAGAATCTTAAATTAAAATATCTCAATTAGTAAATACTAAAACTACGAATTAATTAATTAATTTTTAATTTAAAAATCTTAAACGGCAATGAAAATAATAGACAAATAATACAGTGTTGGAGATTAACAAACAAATCTAGAAAGGGGAGTTTCCAACAGGCCTTTGCTATTGTCTTCCCCACAATCATTCCCCAAAACGACGTCACTCGTGACATCATTTCCCAAAAAGCCCCCAAACTCTCCAATCCAACAAACTGCTCACGTGGCATCATCTCCGCCGTCCAAAATATCTCTGACGCAATCATGCGATTCGCGTGAGGCGAGAGCACAACATACACAAGCACACATTCCCTTTTTTTTTTTGAAAAACTTTTTGGTCCAGAAGAAAAAAGTAAAAATTTTGAAAAATAGCATTATTTTTTGTTGCATATGGAAGAATGGAGGGCTAACTTTCTAATTTTGAACTTAACATCATTTTTTTTTTGTGCAAAATTTTAACCTATTCTTAGTTTTAATTTTTCTTATGCTATTACCATTGTTACCGTGCATGATAATTTTTTATTTGAGTCGCAACGAGCTAATATTTTTTAGGCTAAGTAAGATAATGTTTAATATATGAGTCAATTTTTAATTTAATCCTTAATTTTATAAAATTCTCAATTTTACTTTTATTGAGTTTGAAGTACATCTACACATGTTGTTGTATTAAAAAAATACAACTAAAATTATATCCGTTCATGAATAAAATTTGACCCACCAATTAACAAAATCTATTTTTATTTTGAGTGGTATGTACTCTATGTAGCATACTCAAGGTCCAAACATATTAATTAGGACTGAGAATTGGTTGACGGTTTACGAATTGACGCTGTTGATTCGATTGGTTAGTTTGTTGGGAAATTGACAGTGCTATTTTTTTTTTTCAATTCTGTTTTTTTAATTTATTCCCATATTTTTCATTAATTCTATTTACTTTCTCTTGTATATACTATTTTTCATTATTGTTTAAAGTTTAAATTATATTTCATGTAATGAGACATTTTAGACCAAGCAAACCTAATATCTCAAACCATAAAAATAAAATTAAAAAATAAAAAATAAATTTAATAGGTATATTATTGTCGGTCGGTCAGAATTTGGGGGTGCATGACCGCCAACCGACCAACTTGTTGGTTCTGAAAAATCAGAACCAAGAATGAAATCGACAGATCAAGGAATCAACCTACCAACGTCGATTTCGATGTCCTAGTCGATCGGATCGATTTTTTTGAATCTCTTTACTCACTCCTAATATTAATAAATCACTTGTTTATTGATACATCATAGCTTTATTCTAACAAAATTTAAAGGTTTGTTTTTAAATAATAATAAAACTTTTGAAAAAGAGCTCCCAAAGCAAAAGGTTCACACTTTCTTTAAAAGAAGTTTAAGTGTTATTTCTCGACATATTAAAAATCCAAAATCGTCCTTTGGACATAAATTCAACGCCAGTTTTGCAAAACGAAAAAAAGGGGTCAATTTCGCAGTGCATAATATAACATCCGAGCCCCAAATCTCCGTTCGTTGGTTCTCCAAATTTGTCGATCTCAGCAATTTGTGAAGAAAATAGGAAAAACAGTGGAAATCTGTGAGGAATTCGAAGAATATGAGCGGCGTAGTGATGGAATCGGAGCGCGGTGAGGAGTACAGAGGGACGATGATCAATTTCGAGCAGACGGAGCTCCGGCTCGGATTGCCCGGCGGCGGTGGAGGAAGCGACGACGGCGAAATCCTCGCCGGAAAAAGTGGTTCTGCGAAGAGAGGATTTCTGGAAACTGTGGATTTGAAGCTTAATTTGTCTTCTTCAATGGGGACCGTGAAGGAGGAGGCCACCAAATTGGAACACAAGACTTCTGCAAAACCTCCATCCAAGTAAATTTCTCTCTCTATAAAATTAATTAATTAATTACCAAAATTGGATTTTTCTTAATACAACGAGTGGAGGTGGTGGGACCGGATATATATCAATCATTGTTGAACTGTGCTCGTTTTTTACTATCACCGAATTTGAATTATTAAAATAGAATTAGGATTAAATGAATGATTAAAACCATATTGGATGATTTTTCTTTTTCTTGTATGGTTAACTATTTTAAACCGATTAAGGAATTTTATTTCAGGTTCTCGATTCTTTTTAAATTTTATTTTATTTTGATTTTAAACTTTTGAAAGTATTCAATAATCGTTTACTAATATAAATACTTATTTGTTTGTTAGTTAAATAAAAGTAAAATAAGGATCAGAATGTTTATTGTTTTTTAAATCAAAGCCTAGGTTAACAATTTTGTAAGTTCACATATCAAAATTAATGTTATAAAAGTTCAAGAATCAAAATAAAATATACCTAAAAGTTTCGTTACTAAAATTGAAGTGGAACATTATAATAGTAGAAATGCATAAAGAAAATGTCGTAAGACCTCTACTTAAATATCGTAAATATGTATGAACAATTTAGGATATGAACAAAATGTTTAAAAGCACGGAATAGAAAAGTTTTGAATTTAAACTTTATTACATTCCAATAACATTTTTCACAATGGAGATTAAAATGTACAAATTCTTAATTACAAAAACTAAATTGTTATATACTACCGTCTAGATACAAAAAATGATTTTTAACCTTTGATATGAATTCATTTTTTTCCTGAACTTTTGCATATTTGAATAAATAAGAGTGTTATTTTTTTGTTTATATCCATATAAAAAATTCTAATTTTTACATATTATTGATATCAAATATTAGTGACCGTTCTTCATGGCTTGTAGATTTCAAATCTCATTCTCCTTATTTTACCAAACATTTTCATGCTTTATTTTCACTTTACCTTTTTAAAAAAGTAAAAGATGGTTAATATTTAAATAATGAAAATTGAAGAGAATTATTAATTATGATGATTCATGAGGACTTTTTGGGAATACGAGTGTAAGTTAAGCTGACCTTGAAACAAAGTTTTCAGTATTTTCAATGGTTTGGTTGATTGGTTGTCGGGAAAATGAAGGAAAATTACAAAACATCAGGAATCTCACTTTTCTCACCAACCAAACAATTCTTAAAGTATAACAAAAAGATGCACACTCCAAAAATAGAAATAGTTTTTAAGTATTTACTTTTTTTTTTTAATTCAATAAGAATATATAACTTGATTTAAGTAATAAACAGAATAAAGAAAAATTATTGATTGCTTTGCTTCTACAAACCTTCATTTCTTTGAAGGAAAAAAAAAGAGAGAGGTTTTAAATCATATTTCGTTCTTTTCACACTTTTTTATTTTAGTTCCAAAACTTTTAAATAATATTTTATTTTAATCATATAAAAAATTTATTCTGGTCCTTGCATTATTTGTTCAACATAAATTGCAACTTGATTTAATAAACCAATCAATTTGATTCTAATTTAATTATTTTATATTTCCGTTAAGTTTTAAAGATATTTGAGAGAAAAATGGTAGATTTTGAAAATAATGGGGGGTTTTCCTCTATTTAAAAATCAATAATTTTATTATGTAGTTAAGTAAAAATTTGGGTTAATATTATTTTTTTTTGTTTGATGAATTATTTATAGAGCCCAAGTAGTGGGTTGGCCACCGGTGAGATCATCAAGGAAAAATTTGGTAGCGCAGAGGAACGGCGGCGACGAAGGCGGCGGCGCGTCGTTCGTAAAAGTCAGCATGGACGGCGCGCCTTATTTACGGAAGGTGGACTTGAAACTATACAGCAGCTACAAGGATCTCTCTCACGCGCTTGCCCAAATGTTTAGCTCTTTCACCATTGGTAATTTCTTTCTGTCCTATTTTCTTTTAATTTCTAAAATGGATTTTTAGTAAATTAATCAATCGCCTAATTATTCTTTTTTTTTTTGTGGGTAATTAAGAAAATTTGAAGAGGGTTCTAAACCCAAACTTTTGAAAAAAGTTTATAATTATAGGTACTTTGATCGACAGAGAATTCGTGTGATCCACCAGAAAGTTGAGATTTTGTTAATGAAACTTTCACTAATACATTCCTTATTTGATATAAAACACAGGTTTAAATACTATTTTGGTATTGTGCTCACAAAATGTTCATTTTGGTGTTTATACTTTTGAATTTTGTTCACTTAAAATCCTTAGGCTTTCAAAGGTTCACATACTTTTAAAAATCTAGTGATCTCAATTTATATTGGTAGCCCTGTTTACAAAATTTTATAGAAATCATTTAATACAAATTTATGGCTACATTTCAAATTTAGTGAGTAAAGTGTGACGTTAAAATTTTGATCGAAATAAATGAGATAAAAATGAAAATTAAAGAATTAAAATGATGATCATTTTTTAAAAATACATGGAACAAAATGAATGTTTTGAGAGTACACAAAAACTAAAATAAATAAAAGTTGAAAATATAAAGACAAATATAAATATTTTGAAAGCATATACACTAAAATGGAAAAAAATAAATGCAAGAACTATTACATGAGTACTAAAGGTTTATAATTACCTTATACATATTCTCTAAAAATTGAGATGAAGGCAGGAAAATGGATGGGTTTTAATGGGAAAATTTTGGTGTTTGGATGGCAGGAAAGTGCGACTCAGAAGGAATAATGAAGGATTTCATGAACCAAACAAAATTGGCAGACCTTTTGAATAGCTCTGAATACGTACCCACTTATGAAGACAAAGATGGAGATTGGATGCTTGTAGGCGATGTGCCATGGGAGTAAGCTCTCTCTCTCTTTAATTTAAATCACGACGACGTTGACTCGTGATTTTAATAACGCTCTATACAACCAAATACATTATAGTTGTACTTAGTTGGTGCATTTCATGATTTGTAAAAGTCAGTATGAAGTATACGTATTCACTATTTTATATCGTCTCGTTAATTATTTGACAGGATGTTTGTTGATTCATGCAAACGTTTGAGGATCATGAAAGGGTCTGAAGCCATTGGACTTGGTAAATCATCCATCTCTAATTCTTTGTTAAAATTTTTAATGTGGTTTAAAGAAGGAGAGAAACTAATTAACAATGAGCTTCTGTTAATATATAAGTTTAATTTTTGGAGTTTCTTTTTAAAATCTTTTGAATTATTTAATCATGAACAGCACCAAGAGCAGTGGAGAAGTGCAAAAACAGAAGCTGAGGTGCTGCATGCATTGATAAAAATTTGTTTGATATGTACCATTTTTCATTTTCATTTTCTAATTAATATATATATTAAGGTTGAGGTTGAAATTGTAAGAACAGATAAATTTAGTATTAGCATAATTAAGTGGTTTGTCCAATTTTTATTTGAACAAGTGATGTTCACGACCTTGTATTGGATATTCCTTTTTGTTTTGCCCATTTTGTTTACTCTTATGATTTCCTTGTCCTAAATTTTGCATCCAATCTCCAAATATATTATAATTATTTCCAGTTTTAGAAAATAAATATTTTCATGAATATAATATATTGATACTCCAACTTTTATCTTTCATGGTATTTATATGAGATTGCTCTCGAGAGAGTCTGACTTATATTAGTTGATCTATGACTCATATTTCGTCTTTTGTTTGTTTTGAGAAATATATCGATCAATTTTGATTCTTTCTTTTACTATTGATTATTCTTTTCTAATTGTGATGTATGAATCTGGAGGCTTTAGGCATATAAATCATGTTCCTGGATTAAGAAAATTTATAAAAGCTCTATTTGCCTTAGCTATTATATAAGTCTCTTCCTTTTTATCGACTCCTTTTTGTTCCGTTCCATTAAAATATGGCCATTTCATGGGTCTCTTTTTTTTTTCTTTTCTTTTCATTTTCATGATTTAGCTTCACAAATCTCAACATACTTGTAACTTGTAAGACCAAATTTCAATGCAAATAGTAATCTCAATTCAATGTGAAGTTTAATATGATAGGTTACGTCACACATGAATGGATCAATGAAGATATAAATACAATAATTTTCTAGATAACATATAATCCAAAGCAGGGTTTGGGAATCCATGGTTTCAAAGAGGAATAAGTGGGTAAATTATCCTTCAAGCATAGAGGATTGTTGCGCCTCTGCTTAATAGCGAGAGGGACGAGTGCAAGTGCACACTGTCACAAGTAATAATCTGGAAATATTCCAAGTCCGTCTCCACAGGGACTAGTTTTCTTTTAAAATTAATTTTGCAAATTGTTGGAATGAGCAATCAGGTTTGTGATAAAAATTGGTGAGATTGGTTGAACACGAAAAACACACGAAAATCATAGAATTTTGAAACCAACCCTCGTACTACTGACTAGTCCGAAGAGAAATGAATTACACCTATCAGAATCTCACACTAAATTCACTCTCTAATTGCAAACTGGTTCAACTCCTGTTCCATACCGCTTTTGGTTTGTTTAGAAGATTAGGCCAGTATTTAAAACATGTCTGTAAAATACTAGAAGAATCCTAAGTAATTAAAACTCCAAT